TGACTTAACGACTGAATAACAACTTCTGAGTTCAGAGATCTTTTGAAAGACTTGTCTTTACAGAAGTTCTTGTAATACTGTTTGTCTTCTAACAGCTCTCTGAAACTCTTTGTTAAGTTCCTTTCTGAGATTTTTGTCTTTCTTGGCTTTGGCTTCTGTTCTCTTCTTCACAGTTTCCCCAGTTCATTCTAACATCCAATTTGCTTTTTTCTCTTCATTTTTGGTTATCCCTTTTCATATTCATATTTAATAACTTCTTTAAGAACATTCCATAACTCCTCTAGTTCTCTATCAATGACTTTCAGGACTTCAAAGCGATTTCTGAAGTTTTTCTTGAAAATGGTGGGCATACTGTATGTTTAAGACCATATCAAAGAAACTGTTTGTCTTTGTTCTTCTTCTTTAGCTTTACTTGGAGCTTGCACATGAGAAATCCATTATCTGTTCCACAGTGAGCACCTGGCCGTGTCTTTGATGCTACAATTGAGCATCACCACCTCCTTTTAGCAATAATATAGTCAAATTGATTTCTATGTATTCCATCTGGTGATGTCCATGTATAGAGGTGTCATTATTTGGTCTCATATTTATTTATTAAATTTATTCATTAAAGCAATTTATATGACCCCCCAACTCAGAGTGACTCCAGGCAGCTTACAGAAATAATACAAAATCCACTACAACCCCCACCCCCCTGGCAACAACACATTTACACTAGCCATTTGATGGGCCCCATATTAACCTGGGATCCCCAGGCCCAGTGGCAAAACCATGTCTTCAGGGCCTTGCAGAAGAGTATCAAGATGAGGGTCAGTCTTATCTCTGTGGGAATGAAGTTCCAGAGGGAGGGAGCTACCACGGAGAAGGCCCTCCTTCTCAGTTCCACTAGATGTACTTCCTTAATGGGGTGGATCCATAACATACCCCACCTTTCTGATCTGGTGAGTCAGGCAGATGAAACTGGGAAAAGGTGATCCTTCAAATAACTTGGCCCCAAGCCACGTAGGGCTTTAAAGGTGATAACTAGCACCTTGAACTGGACCCAGAAGCAAATTGGCAGCCAATGCAGATCCCACAAGAAAGGTGACACACATGCAAATCTAGACTTGCACAGAACCACGTGGGCTGCCATGCTCTGAACCAACTGAAGCTTCCGGATACTTTTCAAGGGCCGCCCCATATAGAGTACATTATAGTAGTGAAGAGGTGTTTGGTTGTTTGAAGACAGTGTTAACTATGAAGAAATCATTGGAGTGGCAGAAATTGATGAAATGTTCTCCTGCTTCATTTCAGTTTTCTAAGCCACACAATCCAACTACATTTTCCTCTTTCATGTTTACAAGTTTGGCATTCCAGTCTCCAATCACAAGCAACACATCTTGCTTGCAGGTTCTGTCAATTTCAAATTAAACTTGATCAACCTCTTCATCTTCTACCTCAGTGGTTGGAGCATAAGCTTGAATGATTGTCATATTAAAGGGTTGTGTGATCTTCTGACTGAAGGTGTCTGATCCCAGTCCATCTCAAGTTGCTAATGCTTAGATGTCAATTTGTAGTCCTTTCACTTCATCTTTCACTATGTTGAGCTTTCCCATATTCATACATTTTACATTCCATGTTCTACTATTACGTCTATCTTTGCAGCCTTAGATTTTCTTTTCCTGTATGGCAACATCAATAATTAGACATTCCAAAGGGTTTAATCTACTCACGTCATAAAAACCATTAATGTCACAAAAGATCCTCAGCTCTTCCTCAGTAGCATGTTGAGTGCCATCTGACCTAAGGGGCCCATCAGCTGGCACTACATCATCAATTATTTTATATTTTCTATTGATATGGTTTCCTTTACCACTGCCTTCTCCCACAAGGCACTCATTAATTCCTGTGCCATTGTCACTAAAGTGGTCATCTGCCTCCAGTATCTTCCTATATTGCTGGTGCCCAATATAAGTGCCTGTTTGCTTTAGCTGGCCAGCTGGGATGACCTTCATGCCTTGGGTGATCTGGCTGGGAATATATATCTTGGCATACAATCCTGACATTCTTTGCTCATCCCTCCCAGGAATACCCACCTGCCACGATGAGGCAGCATAGCAGAACTTGATGGGGTATGATGTCTGGTACTATCAAAATTGAACATTCAAAGAAATTGGGCATAAAATACTAAAATATGGCGCCTAAGAACTTGGGATGAGCAAATCATCGACATTTGCTTGGAAAAATGCTGAACCTATTCTTAGAAGAAAACATTGGAAAGCATTACATTCTGGAACAAAAGCAGAGTCTCTAAGATGCTCTTAATTATAATTTTTTAAGCCTGTAAAAACTTCATTGGGAACACTTAAATTCTGAGTGAACAGTTACAAAGATATTTTCAGAACTATATATTATTTAAAGTCTATTTATAAATGACATGGAACTAGGGGTGAGTAATGAGGTGTTCAGGTTTGCTGATGGCACAAAATTTTCACAACAATAAAATGGGGGCGAGGGGGGAATGGGGGCATGAAGTGCTCTAAAAAGATTTCTTCAAGCTATATAAATAAGTTTTAAAATGGTAAGTACAGTTCAGTGTAAACAATTGCAAAGGGATGCATGTTAGAGTGAAGTATATGAATTTCATATATGTACTGATGATCTGTAAGTCAGCAGTAACTGATCAGAAAACAGATCCTGAGGGCATAATGAATAGCTTAAAAATAAAAGTGAATTCTGTATTAGGAATCATGAAGTTATAGACTTAAAATAATATTGTTTATATAGATTTCCCCTGGTATAAATTTGTGGTGCAGCCACAGGTGGAATATTATGTATAGTTTCTGATTATTAAATTTCAGGAAAAAATATAAATAGAGCAAATATTGGTCAGAAAAAAGGCAATCAACATGATTAAGAGATCACATGAAGAAAATTATAGTGGTCACAGGGCTTCAGTGTACAACTAAAGGTCTTTAAAAGAAAAGGGGCTTCATTAAAGTTTTGCTGGTTCTTCCTCATCAAACCTTTGGGGCAGGACCGAATAGGTGAGGAACATTAGTCAAGAAGGTGAGTTGGGTTTAGATTTCAATCAAGCCAAAGATGAATTCAACAGATGTTTATAAGCATCACTCCTTTGAGGCAACCATTCCTGTGTCCCCAAATTTCCAGGCTTCAGCCTGGCATACCTCTCTGGAACAGCTAATAAAACAAGGGGCATCCAAAAGGGGCAAGAGATGTAACATGCATCTTGACATTATAACATGAATTATGTACTTATATCATTTTGCATTGTATATAATTCATGCCATTTGTATGATGACATCATCACATATTTAGCATCATTTTGATATTATTGTAATTTACGCTGGATGCCTATTGTAAGCCACTGTCACAAAGAATTTCAGTGCAAATATACAATGGCTAATGGCTTTTATTTGAATTTATTTATTTATTTATTTATTTATTTATTTATTTATCAGATTTATACTCCACCCATCTTACTATGTAAGTAACTCTTATCTCACAGATAAGAAGCATAAAAACAGTTTAAAAAACTACAAAACAAAGTTTAAAAGACTACAAGACAAAGTTAAAAAACAGAGAGAGCATCCTCAAGGCACTAACCACCTCCAGTGTTGGAAGCCCCCATTGGATCCCCAAGCTAGTTGGCAGAGTCAGGTCTTAACACTGTTAAGGCCAGAAGAGTGGGGGCCAACCTTACCTCGGGGGGGGGGCAAGATATTCCACAGGGCAGGGGTGATGACAGAAAAGGCTCTCCTCCTAGACCCTGCCAGCTGAAATTTTCTAGCCGACGGGGTCCGCAACATGCCCTCCCTGCCAGACCTAGATTCCTTTTTCCAAGTAATACAAAAATCATTCAACTGAACTGACTGATTCACCTGTAATTAACTCTCAAACATTATTCAGGCTAGACAAGTTTGAGACTATTGTTTGGCATAACCTGAAATTTTCAAACATTAGCTATAACAATCATTTCCATTATTTTTCATATTAGCTACATTAAGTCCAAAAATGTTTCCCCTTAAACATTACTTTTCTTGAGAAGGATGATATGTTTCTTATAAACATTCTCCTAACCAGAGATAATCAATTGCACTATCAATTTGTATGATAATGTCATACCCAACTTGAGGATCTAAAGAGAGATCTCTAGGGAACTTCACCCTTTTGCTCACAAGAACAGTGGGATACAAGCCGTTGAGTTTGGATACTTCAATCATCCTTTTTTCTGTGTCAGCCCAATAGAGATTCTTTCCAACCCAGTCAACTGCTAGTGCATTAGGAACAGCTGTGTTATGAACTACCTAGAGAAATGAAAATTGTATAAGTAGCAGAACACATGGAAAAATGTGAGAAAGTCCATTTTATTTCCATTCAAATATTTTAAAAGAAGGATACCACGGAGATGAGAGTTAGATATACTGCACTGACAAATGCAATTATGTAAGTGGAAAGTTCTTCGTTTGAAAAGGGAAAGGATATTAATTTTTATAACCTATTAAAAATAACCATCAAGAATAAAAGGCATTACACAGTAATTTTATTCCTGTTTCCAATTTGGAATTACTGTACTTTAGAGTACAATAATTCCAAACAATTACTGTACTCTAAAGAATTACTTTAGGCATATCCTGAGGAATTCTTTCTCTGGTATGCAGAATCCTATGCCATCTCACATCCTGGTCTTTGAGGTTTCTTCAGGTTCAAATATACAACATGGCTAGCTGCCTTTCTTTAACACACAACAGCAGCTAGTGGTATGGTTTACTAAGTGAAGCTATCAGAGATAACTGCCAGAGAAGAGGAGATAAAGCTTTCTGTATTTACTTTTATGAACAGGAGGGAAATAGGCTAACATAGTGGCCGCAAAATGCTATCAGCCAAAGCAGTCCAGGTAGCAATTGCATCCATATGGCACTGGCTGCAGCATTTTCTCCATCTTCAACATCTCCAGCTCCTAAAGGGGAGGCAGCCTCATTCCAGTCTATCACTATGAAGCTACTATGGATAGTTTTGTCAAGCAAACCACCTCACTGATTGCTGCTGTAAATAAAAATTCAACATTTTCTTTGGCATGTAAAAGTAGTAGTATAATCCTTTAGATCAGTGTTTCTCAACCTTGGCAACTTTAAGATGTGTGGCTGGCTGGGGAAATCTGGGAGTTGAGGTCCACACATCTTAAAGTTGCCAAAGTTGAGAAACACTGCTTTAGATTATGAGGAAATGTGAGGAAAGAATGAATCTGGATTATTTATTTATCTGTCCATCCATCCAATTTATATGGTCACCCACCTATCTAAGGAAACTAAGATATTAGATGTTTATTTTTTCTTATACAACAACTAATCTTCCTAGACAAAATGGTTTATTATCAATGTTATTTATACATAATAAAAATCACTTTACAAAACTCCTTTTTCATCATCATCTCCTGGAAAACCCATGACAAACTAACAATTTAACAAGTAAAACTAAAACTACTGAGCAAAAACAAGAATATGGGTTTGACACAGCTCCAAAAGTAGAAAAGTGTAGTTATGGATGGACACACAATGCTAATCTCAATATTCTTATTCATAGAGAAACCTTGGTCCAAGTTAGGTTTGCTAAGACCCCTTATCAACAAGTCTAACTCTGAGTGAGATGGGAGATCTGTAAAAACAACACAAATGGTTTTGAATGAAAAGTTGCATAAATAAAGTACAGAAGAAAAAAAAAGAACTATCTTGCACACACAAATGAAGATATATCCTTTCTGTGTTAGATGTGGGGGTATTCCTCATTTGTTTCTTGTCTTTTCACTGATATCACTATATTCTTCATTCAGTTTGATCTGTCTGATAGTTTAAATATTGAGAACAGATAGATTTTGTATTTCATTTCAATTTCCCCCAAATGCTATTTTTTAAATCTCATCATTGTGCATATGGGCACTGATTAAATAATAGTTCAAAACAAATTTTGATTTGAAATATAAATACACCAAGATACATGTTTCCACTGTGATTAAATCAACTTCTGAGAAAAACAAATTTTCTTAGCGCAAATCAGACCACAATAGTGCAAATCAGACCACAACAATATATGCACTTTAAGTAGTATTACATTTAATTAGGTATATATCAACCAACAAAAACAACTGCAGTTGTGCAACTTAAGATCAGTTGATCTGTAGATTGAAAAAAAAAAGCTTCATCCAGACTTAGTTATACTCAGTATAAACTGATTTAAATCAATAGGATTAAATTCATCATCGTTAATCTAAGTCCCATTAGTTTCAATGTATGTATTCAAAATATAGCTAAGTCTGGATCAAAATCTATTTTGCATGAGTTGATGCATTGCATTGCATGAGTTTTGCATGCATTGATATATACCTAATTAAATGTAATACTACTTAAAGTGCATATATTGTTGTGGTCTGATTTGTGCTATTGTGGTCTGATAGTTCTTACTGTCTTAAGCTGTGCAAAAATACAGCCCAAATTTTTTGCTATGTAACATTAGCTACTGATCCAAGTAAGGTTTATAAATCCATGATTACTTCCCAATCACCTTGACATCATTCCCATTCAGATTCATTCTGTTTATTCTACTACCATTTGGTCTGCTGGAATCAATCCAATAGATGAACTCTTCTTTGTAATCAAAGTCTACTGCAATCACATTATTTAGGCTCTAAAAAGGAAAAAAAAAATGACCTCAGGATTTTCCATAAACAAATTAATAAAGTTAAGATAACAATTCCTACAAGTTTAGTGATCAAGTATTAATTAAGGGGGGATTTTTAAAAAGGGGGGGATATGTCCATTATTTCCCAAATGTTCATAATTAATTTTTATCTTTTAAGAGAACTGAAATAGGAGCACATAAATAACTTGAGGTTTATCACCAAAACACTCTGTCCCCTTCAAATGTACTTTCAAGTTCCCAATACCAATCAATGGGAGGAGATGTAAGTAGATTTAACCGCCAGAATCTATTCTCCAACAATTTCTATTTTCCATGGGAGGAGGACAAAATCTCCATAGGAGAAAACCAGTTAATAAGGGGTAAAAAATGAGGGCCATATGACCTCTATGTGGATGAGCTTCCTACAGTGGGGCAAAAAAGTATTTAATCAGCCACCAATTGTGCAAGTTCTCCCACTTAAAAAGATGAGAGAGGACTGTAATTTTCATCATAGGTATACCTCAACTATGA